GGGGGCGCTACAGGGCGGCCATGGAAGCCACGGCCAATGGGCTGTGAGCTCAGGCCCCGGCGGTTCCTTGAAGACCAGGCGCCGGGCACTCGCCCGTCGCACGCCTTCCCGGGGTTACACCGCTCTAGATGGCCCCGCCCCACCCATCGTCTCGGCCAATGGGAGCGCGCTCCGAGGGAGTGGGCGGAGCTCCAGGGTGCGGGCTGCACCTGGAGCGCGCCGCACGTGAGTCCGCCCGCCCGGCCTCCCTGCTCACCCCCGTGCGGGTCCGCGCCGCTTTTCGACACAGCGCGAGCCCAGGAAGTCTGTCCGTCCTTGGTGGCAACCTGGAGAGACAAGGTGAGCTCACCCCGGAGGGACGGCAGGTGGGAAAGGGGACCGAGAACAGAACCCGAAGGAGAGGGGCGTGGCGAGCGGTGAGGTGGACCCCGGAGTCCCGGCCGGTGAGGAGGGGAGGATGTGGTTGGCCGTCGAGGCTGCGGGATGCGCGCCGGCAGGGACCGCTGGTGGTAGCAGGTGGGCTGCCGGTTCCGACCTGGACCGGAGCAGCCTGCAGTGGGCGCTGCAGACCTGTTTCCAGCGCGTTTAAGAGAAAGCGAGGAGCATTCAGGCAGTGAGTTGCCACTTGGCTGTGATGCGAGCAGAGGAAGGGGCGGCATCTCCTTTTCTCACCTGGAGCTTTAGCCGGTCCCCCCGGAGCAGTCGAAAAGAGTGGGTTACGCATCAGACTCTCGTATGCAAACGCTTTAGTGTGTGTTCAAGATGCCTTTTGAAGTAATGGCAAGATAATTAACTTTTAGTAAGATAATTAACTTTTAGTTTAGACTGTAGTCTTTCCTTAATTAGCTACTATTAAATTAAAATAAAAAAACAAGAAAAGTAACATCTTTGAACATAGAGAGCTGCCTTCCTTTATACCTTAAAAATTTGAAAGAAATCACAGTTCTTCCTTGAATACCTTTAAAAAATTATTTGATTTACTTAGATTTCACTGACTAAATACCACTTAAAATGCCAAGTGTGGATTGTTTTCAAGTTTATTTTACTAGCTAGCTCAGAGTTGTCATAGGTGTGTCCTACCTATAGATGTAGAGACATGTATGTAGCTAATTATGTATCTCATAGAGTAATTTTAATACCTTAAAAATTCTCTGGTTGCTCAGTGGTTGAGTGTCGACCCATGAACCAGGAGGTCACGGTTCGATTCCTGATCAAGGGCACATGCCCGGGTTACAGGCTCGATCCCCAGTGGGAGTGGTGCAGGAGGCAGCCGATCGATGACTCTCATTAATGATGTTTCTATCGCTCCCTCTCCCTTTCTCTCTGAAATCAATAAAAATATATTAAAAAAACTTTTCTGTGCTCCATCAATTCATCTCTCCTACTCCCATCCCCTGGCCACCAAGGATCTTTTTACTGTCGTCTCCAGCATGTCGTATAGTTGGCTTCTTTCACTTAGTAATATGCATTTAAGGTTTCTCCGTAACTTTTTATGGCTTGATAAGAAAGTTCTTGCCCCGCCGGTGTCGCTCAGTGGTTGAGCATCACCCCATGAACCAGGAGGGCACAGTTCGATTCCCTGTCGGGACACATGCCTGGGTTGGGGGCTCTATCCCCAGTGTGGAGCATGCAGGGAGGCAGCTGATTGGTGATTCTCCCTCATCACTGATGTTTCTGTCTCTCCCTCTCTTCCTCTCTAAAATCAATAAAATATATATTAACACACACGCACACACACACAACGAAGGATGATATTGCATGATGTGGTCAAAGGGACTTTGACTATAATCAGGGTTACAGACTTTTACAGAGGGAGATTGTCCGGGATTATGTGTACGTGCCAGTCTAATTACACGAGCACTTGAAAAGCAGCATTTTCTCCAGCTGTACAGAGAGAGGCAGAGCGTGTGAGGAGCGTGACCTGCTGCTGGTGGAGGGGCCCCAGGGAAAGCACGAGAAGGGACGCGGACGGCCTCTAGGAGCAAAACCCAGCCGTGACTGAGAGCCGGCCAGAAGCGGGGCCTTAGTCCTACAGCGACCGACCGGAACGGGATTCAGCTGAGAGCGTGGATGTGGGCTTGTTCTCAGAGCCTCCAGAAAGCTGCGCAGCCCTGCTGACAGGTACCATGATTTCAGCCTAGGCCGATCGCCAGGTGAGCCATCCTGATCCCATCCCAACCTCCAGAACTGTGAGAACAGATGGGCCTTGTCTGAAGCCATTATGTTGTGGCAATTCTTAGGGCAGCAGAAGAAAACGAATACAGTGTGTGTGTGTGTGTGTGTGTGTGTGTGTGCAATAAACGGACTGTATCCACTCATCCGTCTTGCTGTCTTTGCTGTGTGCACTAGGCACTTAGTTCAATGTTGGCGCGCTGGCTGTGTGTGAGCAGCTGAGGACAAACCGTGCCTGTGTCCAGCAGGAGGGCACCTCGCGGGGCTGGCAGGTCCAAGCGTGCAGAGCCGGCCTCTACTCTCAGCACCACGAATGCTCTCGAGCGTCCGGAGCCGCCTGAGCACTTCACATGCGTATCATCTAATGCTCACAAGACCTACCATCTACTCATTTTCGGATGAGGAAACTGAGGCTTAGAGAGGACCAGTACCTTTCCCGAGGCTTCACCATCACTCAGAATCGAAGCTCAGGACCTGGCCGGCTTTGCTCAGTGGTTAGATCATTGGCTCTCGGACTGAAGGGTCTCAGGTTCGATTCAAGGCCACGTACCTCAGTTGCAGGCTCAATTCCTGGCCCCAGTCAGGGTGTTTGCTGGAAGCAACCAATTGATGTGTCTCACTCCCATCGATGTTTCTCTCTGTCTCTCCCCTTCCATTCAAAAAAATAAAATAAAAATAAAAATTGAAGCTAGGGTGTAACCTCAAAGCTGTGGCCCAAAACAAGGGGAGGTGACACCCCAAGCCCCCCTTCATGGCGTGCGTAAGCCACGGGGAGGACCCCAGCACTTGCTCTGCCCAAACTATAACTGCCTTGCCAGCAATACACCCCCGTGCCGTGGCCCATGAACTGAACCGGCTGCACCCCTCCCAAGATCGTCTTCATAGGGGTGATGGGAGAATGGCTGGGGGAAGCATCAAACCGCTGTGGCTGCTGCAGTTGATGCCGTGACTCAGAGTGAGCCCCGAGCCATGCCGGAGAAATCTCTCCCGGGAAAGCAGGCACTTAGAGTTCATTATATCGACCCCGCACCCAGCGCCGTGGAGAGTGTCAGAGGCTCAATAACCATGAACGTTTTGTGGGGCTGAGAGGAGGAAGCAGGTTGTCCGACACTGAGTGGGACAAGGGAGGGGCTCTCCGTGGGCTGACTGGGCTCCTGGGCCGGCCTGATTGCCCAGCTTGGTGAGTCGGTGTGTAAACCACAGGGCGTGGCAGTGTCCCTCTGGGAATGTGGGCATCACAGGACTTTGGAGATTCTCACAGATTGCATTGTCATTTGTATTTTCATCACATAACTTTGAGCACATTCAATAGTACAGCTTTCTGTATGGAGAGACTACTTTGCAATGTTAAAGCCTCCTCATGCACTAAGAGGCCACACCGCACTTACCCCTGTCCCCAGATTTCTGGGTCCAGGACGTCGCCCCCATCTGCTCTTCTTGGTGCTGTTTCCAGTGCCTATCACTAGGGCCTTGTGGCAGTTTCTTCCCTGCCTTCTCCTTCAGGACCCTCCCCTCTCCCTCCTGTATCCACTCTCCCACTAGGAGCTTGTGTGTCCTGAGCCTTTCATTCAGTGCTGGGCTCAGCTCAGTGCAGGCTGCTGGGTGTGGAGGGGCAGGAGGAGCCTGTGTGATGAGCTGTGAGCCCTTGGCCCAGAGGGCCAGACCTGCAGGAACTCCCCCTCTCCCCCCCTCAGGCTTCCCCCCTCCTCAGGCTCCCTCTCCACCGGCCCGCCTTCCTGTACCGAAGTACTGGGGCTTCTCTGCCCTCTGCTTGTTTGCAGCGACAGCGAGGTTGTGGGCCTGCAGACAGCCAGACCCGGGCTCTGAGTCATGCACAGCTGGGGACTGGAGGAAATGAGGAAATGTGCCCGTACCGCTGGGAAAATCTTTTCTCTCTAAATGCAGCAGCATCCGTCCGCACCTGTGCATTTCTCTGTATTTTGGAACACTGTCAGTGATGTGATGTTTCCTATTTTTAAATCAGATTCTAAAAGTGAGAAAAACACTTGCTCATTCTAAGTGGTTTTTTTTAAAGAAATAATTCACGGACGGAGATAACTTCATTTCAAGAATAAAAATACTAGCTTCACAATCCTCACCATTTGGTCTGTTCTCTGAATTATAAACGTGAGGCAGATCTAAAGCACTTTGAGTGCCCACGTCGGCGAAAGGATCAGAATCCAAGGCCTGCAGTTCAGACTGTCGTGTCATTTCCCTTTATTGGGAGCCCATTTGAATTTAAATTATGCGCAGTGAGTGTCAGATCTTCCTCCATTGGTCTCCGTAGCTAAGGAATTCTGTATATTTAAAAAAGGTCTTTGTACTTCAAAGGCTCCTGGACAACATGAGTCTCTTCATCTGGGAGAGGTGTCGGGGAGATTGATCAGATGACTTTGAGGCGCCCCAGGAGGAGGGCCCCCCCCCAACCCCCTAGCTGGGGAAGCTGCACTTTGGTCTTGTCCTCAGCTCAGCTCTGCCTTCTCTTGGGAAACCTTTCTGGTGAGGCTCGGTAGGAGGCACGCCTGCTTTCTGCCTGGGGTGGCAGGGGCAGAACACCCACTAGGTGGCAGTGCATTTCCGGGACCTGCCGCTGGGTCTCAGAGCGATGAACTCCACACTTGGGGGTTCCAGAATCAACTGAAAGCACACAGTGCAAGAATGCGCCTTCTGCCCTAACCAGTTTGGCTCAGTGGATAGAGCGTCGGCCTGCAGACTGAAGGGTCCCAGGTTCGATTCTGGTCAAGGCCATGTACCTGGGTTGCGGGCACATCCCCAGTGGGGGGTGTGCAGAAGGCAGCTGATGGATGTTTCTAACTCTCTATCCTTCTCTCTTCCTCTCTGCAAAAAATCAATAAAATATATTAAAAAAAGAGAATGGGCCTTCCCTGCCTGACCCGAGATCTGACCAGACCTGTTTCCTGTCTGAGCTCTAAAATGTGTCCCAGCATGTGGTCCTGAACTTGGGGTGTAGACACTGTTGCAGAGGCTCCTGGGGATGACTCTAAAATGGGGGTGCAACTGGATGAATGTGTGCCCCAGCCAGGTGACCTCCATTTCGGGAGCCAGTCCCAAGGTTCCAAACCCTGCTCTGCTCCTCCGGCCTGTCCGAGTTTGTGTCTTCATCCTCGGTGGTAGGACCTCTGTGCAGCTCTGCCGGCCGCCAGGGGTTATGCGTGGGGAGAGATGACCCAAACTCTGGAAACAGTCACGTGTCTAAATGTGAGCTCTTTTCATTACAGAGACC